GCAAGTCAAGCCACAGTGGAAGTAAATAAAGCCGCTACACGTCAGATTGAGCATAAATTTGATGAGGTTTCCAATTGATTTGGGTGTTTTGCTTTAGAGTGTGTATGTATGTGTGGGTTCTATAGGAAGAAGAAAAAGACATGGAGAGAGAGAGAGAGAGAGAGAGAGAGAGGGTGGGACCCTTTATTAAATAATTATATTTTTTAAATAACAAAAAACTTCATAAATGGTCCCTCTTTTGTGAAATGACGGAAATACCCTTCACTTAACGGCCAAAAGCTAACGGAGTTAGCGAAAATGACAATTTGTTAAAAGTTTTGAAACCACAAGGACCATCTGTGAGGTTTTTTGAACTTAGGGACTAAACTTGATATTTTTGAAAACCACAGGGACCATTTTTGAAGTTTTGTCTAATATTTATTTTAGTTTTGAATTACTATTTCAAAAAATCTCAATTTACCATTTTGAATTACTTAGTTTTTGTAATATTTTTATTGGTTGAAATAGTTTTTTTTCGAAAAAGTTAGTTGTATCTAGTTAATTATATGTTTACTTTTAATAAAGATGTTCATGAGGGTTTAACGGTGTCAATTTAACAGCGTCCAAAAAATGAGTTTTACCAAAAGATAGCCATACAAAAACAAAAAATGACCCGAATTCTATAATTTTCGTAAATACCCTTCTGTTATAATCTCGATAATCTGACAAAAGTTTGTTTCTTTATCCATAACTGAAAAAAGTGATTCGGTTCATTTAAATGCAATCTATTTTTGGTTTTAGTTTGATATTCTACTTTAAACGATCCAATGAATGGGCTTATATTAATGATTATCTTTTGATGAAACAATAAGTAATTAAAACGATAATTAGTAAATTAAAATGAAAAATGATACCATTTTTTTTTTGAATATTCATTTTTATTTTACAGGGCTCTAGGGATATACAGACTCGAACCATAGACTTTCTCAGTAAAACAGATCAAACTTATTATTATCAAAATTTAAAGACCCAACATGCATTTTTTGTGCATTTGTAACGACGTAATTTTTCAAACCAATTTTTCATTTTTAAAACACATAAAACTCATATATTATATTTCATAAAAATCATAAGTGTCTCAAAGTCAACATAAATCCACAACAAAAGTCAAATCCCAGAATCCTCAACATAATCTCGAACAAGTGTGTACAATCACGTCGGTGCCTTCTCGCGATCCTCTAGAGTATCTGAAACACATAACACGTAACACGGTAAGCATAAAGCTTAGTGAGTTCCCCCAAAATACCACATACAACACATTAGCCACTCAAGGCTATAACTCTGTAAGACCCTCTGGTCAATGTGTCTCAGTGGGACCCTCCAGCCCCACAACTCTGATGGACCCTCCGGTCCTAACTTTGTGGACCCTCCGGTCCTAACTCTGTAAACTCTGAATAACACCTAGCATAAATCACACAGACATAATGCAGTAATATCATAGTACTCAAATAAACACAATAGACCCTCTGGTCACACATAGATACCACTCTAGGTAAAGTATGGTGAGAAGACTCACCTCGTAAGCTAGCTAGTAAAATCCCGTGCTCGAAATCCTCGATCTAGCCTCCGCCTAACATATTAGATAAGTATCTCTAATCAATATCCCACTCTTACTCAAATCCACCAAAAGTTCTCTTACACTCTTTCTAACCCTTGGAATGGGTAAAAGACCATTTTACCCCTTCCTTATCTCAAATGCTCATACTTGACCCAACCATAAGGTCAACAGAAGTCAATACGAGTCAACAATCAGAGTTGACCTGACTCGTCGAGTGCACTCTTGTGACTCGCCGAGTCCACTTGTATCCTCAGAGCTCTTCCTAGGGTTTCACTCAGCTCGTCGAGTTGACCCCCAACTCGACGAGTTGTCACTGGGTCCAGAACGCTGGGGCAACCCGCTCCGACTCGTTGAGTCATCTCATAGACTCGGCGAGTCGACTCATTCGGATTTCTCATTTGGGCACCTGAGGTCAGATCTACAACTCCAACCTCTAGATCTAGCCTCCTAATACCCAAAAGTCACGTAAAGGTTCGATCTTGATGACCATGCATGACATATATTGCTCTATATGCCATCACTACTCCATTAATGCTTCCAAAACACAAAACTCCTTGGTTGATTCACTAAGGCTCTAAACTTTTGGACTCTCTGGACCTCACACGGTCCAGATCTGAAGTCTAAACTCGAAAAGGGGCTTGATGCATCCATAGCCCCATCAAGAAGGTGTTACAAGCCCTAAATCTCAAGAACATGAGATCTAATCATCCTACAAGAAAGGTAAAAGCTTTTTACCTCGATCTAAAACTTGAGATGAAGAAGAAACAGATCCACTGGTCCTCCCTTCTTGATCTTTGAAGAACCTTCCTTCCTCTTCAAGGAAATGAGCCAAAATGAACACAAGATT